GTCCCGCCCGGAGGAGGCCGGGCTCGGCAGCTCCGCAACAATAGCGGGGGATCGGGCCTCGGCGCTCCGCGCCGCCCTTTGAACCCTTCTCCCACCTCGCACCTCGGCCTCCCGGCGCCGAGCCTCTCTCCCTGACCCCGGGCGCCCTTCCCCCGCTTCCGCTCATCCCACCCCGCCGCCGGCTGACAGCGCCTGCCCGCCGCCGCTTCCGGACCCGCGCTGCAATCTCGGCCCCCGGGGCCGGCCGCCGGCCAGGAGGTGGCTGCTGACCCGGGTGCCACCGCGCCGCCGTGCGCCTGCAGCTCGCCCACGCGTGGCGCGAGCCTCCGGTGGGTGACAAAGAGGAACACACCCTCTGCCCAAGTTAGATTTTTGTCTCTCTGTTGCGTGACTTTAAGGGGGCAAAGTTTGAGGTTTTCTTCTTATACATATTTTTTGAAGCCAAGGGCAGATTGTGTGTGTGTGTGTGTGTGTGCTGTTTCAAAACAACTTCTGGTCGTGGTTTTACGATTTAAGTTCCGAAACTTTAGCTGTGTGATCCGCCCGGCCCCTGCATGTGTGTGTGAGCGTGAGTGTGTGTGTGCTGCACTGGGGGGATCTCGATGAGTTCCGTGTAGCGAGCCCGGATCCCACGCATGGCGGCTGGAGGTTACGCGGGTCCCCAGGAAGGAGGGACGCGGGCTCACAAAGAAACGAGGACTCGGCGCTCAGCGGCCCGCCGCGCGGTGGGCGCGATCGCCTCCCATCTGGAGCGGTTTTGCCGCCCCAGCCTCCCGGCCTGCCCTCGCGTCCCTCTCCCAGGGAGCGCGGCGGCCTCGGGCTCTTCCATTTTATTGCTCTTCAAGCCGCCTCCTCGTTAGTTTCCCGGGTTCTACTCGCTCAGCCCGCTCGGCCCCGCGCCTGCTCTGCGCACCCGGACCTCTTCCCCTCCCCTGCCCTGGCGAGGGAGCAGCTTCGGAGCCCAGTCCCGGCCAGCCCGGGCTGTGCTTGCCGCGCTTTGCACGTGGGGACTTGCCACGCCCGTTTCTGAGCAGCCCCCAGCCTCATCTTGCTCTTCTCTTTCCACTGCACAAGGAGCAATGGAGAAAGAAAAGCCTTTTTGGTGCTGAGAGCTTGAGGGGGAGTTACCCTGAAAGCGGTGCTGGTTTTTCAGCCAAGGCGGGGCCCATCTGAAGTCTGTGTGTTTGGCCTTCTTCCCCGACTTGGCTGCGAGCTTGCCGGGGGCTGACCCTGCGCTCTTCCCTGGGTCGCTTTGCAGCATGACAGCTCCTGCGCGTGCACTTCATCTGTGGGTCCAGCATCCGCATGGCTCACTTTATATTCCTATAGCATCTTTCTGCAGCAGGGCACCAATATTGGAGTCACTCCAAGCACAACGAAACGTTTGTGTTTTTACAATGCCTGGCTAATGGATCTGCTTCTGGGTGGAATAAATAGACGCGTTAGTGGGCAGTGCCTGGTTTACTGGAGGCATGGTTGGTGGGGGGCCCGAGCAGAGGCCCGTGTCGCTCAGGGCCCCCAGATGGCGTGTTTCCTTCTGTGGACTGAAACTGGAAATGCTTGGGGGTGAGGCATAGGTGGGGCCTGGGTTCTATGCTGACTTGGGGTGGGCTGTTCCCTTTGGAAGGAGCTCTGTCATGGTGGGGACCCTAAAGTTAGGTCCATAATGCTCCTTTCCACGTTGATAATCTCTTGCCTCGAGTCGATACAGGAGCATATTAGAATACTATTGCTGCTCTGAGGCCATGCTTCCCGAAAGAAAAATGCAAGACCTATCCTAGACGAGTTTCTTGCTGGGTTATGGTTTTGGATTTTTTGGGTTTTTTTTTTGAGACCGGGTCTTGCTGTGCAGTGCAGGCTGGCCTTGAACTCACTGCCTCAGCCTCTCCAGTTCTGGGATTACAGGCCTGCGTCACCATGCCTAGCTTTGCTGGGGTATTGCAATTATTTTAGAATTATCTTGAGTGTTTTTTAAAGAAACTGTCCAAAGAATTTTTTTTGTTTTTAAGTTTTTTGAGACAGCCTCTAATTCAAGCTGGCCTTGAACTTAACGTGTAGTCCAGCCATCCTCCAGCCTCAGACTCCCAAGTGCTGGCATTGTAGACCAGCACCACTATGCCTGGCTTTTCTAGGGGAATTTTTTAAAAGCTAAGAATATAGGGCCGGGTGTGGTGGCGCGTTCCTGTGATCTGAGCGCTCCTGTAGTCCCTGCGCTCAGGACACTGAGGCAGGCCAGCCTGGGCTCCATTTGAAAGGGTTACTTTTTAAAAATAGCTTTCGAAGTCTGATATTCAGTGAGCATGTCAGAGTTTACTTGACGTGAAAAATGAGTGGAGGAGGCGACTTGTGAGTAAACGTCAAATGTTAACTTTGTCCATCGTTGAGGACAGGGAACAGGAGACAAAAAGATAAGAACCCTGTTTTTTGTGTGTGTGTTGAATCTGCTTAGGAAAATTGGTCTTGTGATAAGTGAACTTTCTCTCTAATGGGTAGATGGGTGGCGGGAGGAGGAGGTGCCCATAACCCGGTAACGAGGGTCTTCCAGTCCTTTCTGCCTAAGGCGGCCTGCTGCTCCCTGCCTTGGCTACCACTGGCCCGGGAGAGGAGGGACCCAGGCGTCAGGTCCTGGGGCTCTGTCTCTCCTGTTGTTCAATGCTTTTGATCGAAAGGAGAGCTGTGCGCGGGGATGATAGGTGGTTCACCAACTCCTTGCTTTTCAGGGCGCATGCAGGGACATTACCTGACTCTGGTCCTCTGGCCGGCCATGGCGACACAGGTTGGCTGTGACCTCTTGGCCATCTCCTTGTGGCCAGGTAGCTGCGAGCCGACTGGGCTCCATTCAGAGGACCTGAAATACTGATTTGTCCTGTCCCATTGTGAAAAAAAGTGGGTAGCTGAGAGGATTATTAAGACGTGGTCTCCTAGCACTGCTATCTGGGAAGTGAACCAGAGGACCATCAGTACAATGAGACGAAAAGCGAGCACTGGCTCAGTGCTGGTTATGAACTTTTAACCCAGCACTGCAGTTTTCTCATTTTACACTGACATGGACAGTACAAAAAATCTGCAAGATTTGCAATTAACAGGACTTTACTGTTAATATCCAGTTGACTTCATGTCTACAACTGTTAGCAGGGTACAGTGGCGCGTGCCTGTAACTGGCACTCTAGGAGGCTGAGGCAGCGGGATTGCAGATTCTAGCCCAGCCTGGGCACTTGGAAGGGATTTTTTGTCAAAGTAAAAAAGTGATACAGGGGCCCTGGATGTAGCTTAGTGCAAAGGCCCTGGGTTCAGTCCCGGTTCCACGGCCAAGCCACACAGCAAAGTGGAGCCTGTTGGTCTTTGTTGGTGATGCTATTCCTTACCACAGGGTAACTTTGCCTGAGGATTTTTGGCAAAAGCTCTTCCTATGAAGGGACCTTATTATCAGTTTCAAAAGAAGACTTGAGTCCAGCCTTATGACTTTCACTTTTTGTACTCATTCTATTCATTCCAGATTAGTATAGTGCTTGGAACATTTCAAACCCTGGCAAATACTTACTGAGTGAATAAACACACCTGGCTTTGAATGTCCTTTCAAATTAGTCTTTAGGGCTTTTAAGGGATGACTGGCTTTAGCGCTGATTGGTTGCAGGTCTAGAAATTTGCAAATTTAATACTGCATCCATTTTATTCAAATTTAGCCTTTGGTTCTTAAACACAGACTTTTTTTTTTTTGTAATTTCAAAAGAAGAAAGTCAATAAAAGCTTGAAGAAGCAAGTCGATCTCCCCTGACACCCCACACCTACTCCTGACTCCTGCTGGTAATATTTTGGCATCTGTTCTGCGCGCCTCCTCCTTGCCTGGCCTCCCCCGACGCTGGCGGCCGTGCTGCTGCCTTAGACAGTTCTCGTCTTCCCAGCTCGCCTGTGGTTCCCCGTCTTGGACGCTGCAGCTTGCTTCTGGGGCCGTTTTCCTGCTTCCCGGGGTGCGTCGTTCAGAATTCCACGAGTGAGCATCTGCTAGGGTAACCTCGGTTTTGGTCGCCTTAAACATCTTTGTTCCCGAACGAGCCATGGTTTGCAGTTCTAGGAGGTTCCCGAGTCGCTCCCCGTCTGCAGTTTCTCTATAATGTGTGTGGGTCTCATTTCTTTCTCCTTTATTTCTGTTCTCTCTGCTCTCCTCCCTCCTGCCCTCCTCCGCCGCCTCCGTGTCTGCCTCTCACTCTGTGAAGAGCTTGCTCCTTTCTCATCCTTGGTAACGCTTCAGTGTCTGGGTGGGCTGTGCTTTGCTTGTCCATTTGTTTTTATGAGTGTATGGTTTTGTTTGTTTGTTTGTTTTTTGTACCGGGAGTTGAACTCAGGACCTTGTGCTTGGCAGGCAGGCGCTGTGCCACTGAGCTATATCCCCAGCTCTCCATTCGTTTCTTTGGTCCTTGGGCTGTTTTAGGTTTTGCCTGTTGTGGCTAAAGCTGTGAGTGTTTGTGAACAGTGTTTTGTGTTTTTTTTTTGCGAACAGTGCTTGTGTGGAGATGTCTTTTCACTTTTTTTGCTGTACGCCTACAGTATGTGCATATTTAACTGCTGTTTCCTAAGCGCTTGTGCCCTTTGCTTTCCTATGTGCAGTCTAGGAGACTTGCAGTAACTGTGATCCTCACCAGCACTTGGAATGATCAGTCTTTTTTATTTAAGCCTTTTTGGTGGATGTGATAGGTCACTGTGGGTTCATTTTCTATTTTCCTGCTCACTAATGATACCTTATGTGCTTACTGATCAGTTAATTGTACATCATCTTTGGCAACATCTGTTACATCTTTTGTCTTTTCTGTTTGTTTTTGAGACAGGGTCCATTCTGTAATTCAGGCTGGCCTTGAACTCACTGTGTAGTCCTGGCTGGCCTTGAACTCACAGCGATCCACCTGCCTCAGCCTCCTGAGTGCTGGATTCACATGTGTGCACCACCATGCTGGCACGTCTTTTGTCTTTGTTTTCTGTTTGCCTTACATAACTTTATTGAGTATACCTGCACATCCAAATGGCATCGCATCTTGCAGTTGCAGAAGTTATTTATATATTCTGATGCATAAAGATAACAATTTGGAAATCTTTTGTTGGGTCTGTGCCATATGAATATTTTCACCTACTTGTTTTTTACCTCTTCATTTTTTAATTGGTATCTTGGAACGCTGAGGTTATTAAGAAGACATGTGGCATGGCATAGTTACTGAATGTGTTAATGGCCAGGGAGTTTATTTAACTTAGGACAAATGCCCTATTTGTTGTGTAAAAAGAAGGCATAGACTAGTACTGCTGGATGCGAGAAGTCAGACTGGGCCTGGAGGGCGCTGGC